GGAACCTTCTGCTTGAAATAACATGTAAATATGTTATTTCAAGCAGGCAGCATTAAAAGTTTTGAGCTTTTTTTGTTTTGCTCCTTTTAAACTACTTTTTTCATTCAATTTCTTTTTTTTTGTTTGTTTTTGCTTCTCTTTTTTTATTTTTTTTGTTTTTGCTTGTCTTTTCTTTTTGCTATTTTTTTTTTTGAAACTCTTGGCTTTCATTTTTTTTTTAATTTGTTTTTTCTTTTTTTTACATTCACTTATAATTTTACATTAACAAAACACAGTGTTACATTTACAAATCACAAAATAACATTTTCGAATTAAAATTTTACTTTTTTTTTTAGAAATACAAAATGTTTACATTAGATTATTCTCAAAGATAATTGTCTCAATGGTTACATTAGAGAAAAAAGGGCTGATGTGGGAGGAAACTGGATCATCCAAGGAAAACCCATGTGTCTGAGTGGGAGGCCCCATACTCTCTTCTCAACTCTTGACAACTCTTGTCAATTGCAGAATTCCCTATTAATTTAATCTTGAATAATTTTAAAATCGTAAATCTTTGAAAATTATGTGTGTATTGTAAATATAATGTCTCTTTACAGTATATCTGTGCATAACTACTACCGATCAGTATAAAATAAGATAAATATTAGTTATTGATACTTTTACCAAATAACATCCGAGTAACCGGGTACTCGATCGGAAGATGAAGCGATTAACCGGTTACTAAAAATCGTCCGATTTGCCAACACTAGTTTTTATGGTCTCATTTGAAGGACCGCCCCATTAAGTCGCCTTTTACGACAAGCAAAGGGTACTGAGGATCTATTCTGACCCGGATCCCCACGGGGACTTTTTGTGTATAAAGCACGTCAGTGCTGAAGTTCTTCCAGTATACGGTTAAAAGATACAACTCATTTGAAGGTAAACTGAATTATAGGCCCATGTTCCTGTATGACTTTTATAGCTACTCATATCCCTATACAGTAAGGGTCAACATACTTTAGTGTTACAATTTTTACATTGATTTACTTTAAAGTAGCTTCACTAATTCTGTAAGGCTGTAAATGCTCTTTTCGACATCTTATAATATTTTTTTTTATAAAAATTCATTGACACTACCCAATATAGAATAAAGCTCTCAACAACAAGAAAACAAGACCATGCACAAAATTTAAAATAAAAACAGTTGTAACCAAAGGAATTATATCTTACCATCTTTTAGTTAGAGGTAGTCTTCTCTTAACAGTAGCTGGGAACAGGGGGTTACACCACACCCCAACTCTACAGTAGAATTGAGACATTAGTCATTAAGAGAGGTCACAGTTCCTATAAAATGAGATGAGAAAAACACCACCTTTTGAAATTGATACCAGCCTAACCCCTGACCTATTACTAGTAACACAAAAGGTAAAATACTAAAACAAGTGTGTTGAGACTAAAAGTAAAAATAAAACCAGAGGCCTATGGGCTACATCACTCACCTGGGCACATAATCTAGGAAAAAACACAAATCAGTTCAGTATTGGAAAGTTTACCAGAGATGGGGAAGGGGGGGCTGAATTTTATACTACTCAGGGATGCCTCCAAATTAAAATAACAAATAACTTTGCTGTTTCTAAAAAAAATCAATTTTTAAAAAAAAAATTCTCTTCTTTTTTATTTGTTAAAATTTGATTCCCTAATTGTAACCCCTCCCTAACTCAAGAAGTCATGATTTGAACAGACTGAAATCTTTATTCATGAGGAGGCTAGTTTCTTATGTAAACCTTTGATCTCCAATTGTGGTCCTACAAGGGGTCATGATTTGAACAAAAGCAGACGATGTTTTATATAAATATCACTAATAATTGCTTTACTTTTCTTCAGAAGAATTTTCAAGATTTTTTTCTATGTATTTCCATGTAAAACTTTGATCAGCCATTGTGGCTATTAAAGGTTATTACTATTTTTAGGGTTTTTTAAAAAAATTCACTGTCTGGAAGATTAGGGCACACTTGCTACGGATCATACACACCAATATAAAATTTTGATTATCCTTATCTAGGAAAAGAAAATCTTTTTGGATGAATTGAAAATGATTTTCAAGTATATATAATTAAAGTGTCATTGTGCACACAATGCACTTTATGTACATTATTTATAAAATAACAACTTTGCACTCTTGTCCATAGGTTCAAAATGTAATTTAGTATATACACAGACAGAGAAGAATTGCTTTTATAGACCTAAAGCTTTTTATTTTTTTAAACAAAATAAATGACCCCAGATGTATGAATTTATCTTTAATTTTTAGCCTATAAATCTTTTTAAATTTACTTTACAATAAGTTCTAAACAGTTTGACTGCTTAGATATTCCAAAAAGGGAAGATTGTTCAAAATGCTCAATTTGTAAAAATTTTCTGGCAACCATAATAAAGTATGTTTTTTTGCTAACCTAAGATATACATTCTTAATAATTGTGAAGAAAAAATAGCATATAAACATATAAATTTTGAAAAATATTTAAAATTGGTTGAGCATTTGATCTGAAAGATTTTTACAGAATCAAAATAATTTCAATTTTTAAAAAAGAAATTTCAAATATTTTCTTGACAAATGAATATTTATGATTTTCCTAAGTTTTAACAATAATTGGATGTGATTTGGTAACATAGCTAAATTTAATATGATTTACAATTCTATTTATTTGTAATTTTTGATTTGCATTTTTAAGGTATATACTCCAAGACAGTTGCATGAACATTAACCTGCAAAGATATGTTTTTTATGGGTGTTTTGGTTAGATAATGACTTATTCAAGATATTAAAATCAAAAAATAAAGAGTTTGACAGAAAATTCTGAAAATACGGACCTACCTTTAAGGGACAATATCCCTCTGCTCCACATTTCACGACTTTTTTTTTTAAAATTCCAAACACTGATTTTCAGCAACAACTATAACATTCAATTCAAATAAAAAATAGTTTGAAGTATGAAGCGTTGCTTACTTTTTCAGAAATAAATGATATGTCAAATCATGATTTGAAGAAAATTTGATATGGTCATTAGAAAGGTCAATTATTTTTAATCTCACAATTAAATTAGAAATATGAGGTATATATAAAAATAATATTTACTCTCATACCTATCTAATTCCCTTTAGAAAACATACTGGAGCGATGCTTTTTAAATCAGAATATCAAATTGTTTTCTGTGCATGTAAAATAAAATGCATTCATAAGCAAGAGTTATCGTTCCATTATCGCCCTTGAAATTCTTTTTTAATGAAATAAAATATTAATTAAATGTTTATAAACGATTCTGCGGCTTTTATTTCTGTACAATTAAAAGACTTTCACGTTTAGAAATAGATTTTTTATCAATTTACACCGTTTAAAGGAAATGAGTGTAAATGTTTTAGGTAAACTATTCAAAATAGTTTTTGAATATACTAGCAATACAACTAGAAATCAATCTCTGAACCATGGGATAGATTTGCTTGAGTTAACAATAAAATGGTTCATATGAAAAAGATTTGTAAACTCTGGCATTACAAATTACTGAATTTCATGACAAAATGTCTGCAGAAAGTTATCTTTCTTATCTCTAGAGTTATCTCTCTTATCAGAGTATCAATGAACCTTAAATTACTACACTATCTGAGAATGTTATGGAGAGGATATTTTAGATGATTTTTCCTATATAATGACCAACATAAAAAATTTTGATCATCCATTGTGGCCCTAACCTAAATGTAACCCTTGGGTTCATGATTTGAACAATTTGGAATCACTACCCAAGAATGATTCCATATCAATGTGGCTTTCTTGTTCTTGAAATTTATAAAGAAAGATTTCACATATAAATTCCTAGGCATATTTTTAATCCCAAATACTGTGGTTTAATTAATTTTCGTTGGCTTCAATTTGATTTGAAAAAAATTAAATCTACACTAAGTAAGGATGATTTCACATTAGTGTAACCTTTACAGTCTCAGTGGTTTTTGTTAAAAAATTTAAATCTTTAGATTATTTTTAAATGATGTACTTTACACTAATGTAATAATCTTCCCTTGGAAGAGGGCATGGACCTTCATTTATAAACTTGAATCCCATTTACCCAAATACTCTGTGCCAAGTTTGTCTGACTTTTGCCAAGTAGTTCTAAAGATATACCAGTAAATGTGAAAGTTTACAACAAAGAAGACAAAGACAGACAATGGACAAAGGTTCACTTCTATTTTAATAGGGATAAATAGCCAACACTTATATCAATTGGGTCCCCTACTAAATTGGGGTTGTGATCAGTTTTCTCTCCTACATAGATACCAGTAAAGGCTATCAAGATTCATCTTCCTGTGCGCCCTTGCGAACTTAGCCTGGGACCAAAAGCTGCCCAGTATCCGTCTGCTTCCACGTGGAGGCATCGCATAGGACTTGTTGTGGAGAGGCTATGTACTGGCAGGGGAAGACATAAAAATTCCTTCCCTTTTCGCATTGCTGCTAGCCAGCGGTGATGGCTGAAAGTGAGAGGTGACAAGCACACAGACACTAACACCAACACACTAGACGCATCACACAACATTAAGCAGACTGTTAGTAGTTTTAGTTTGTTAGGATGATATGTTATTGGTTGGTTACGATGATTTGTTGGAAGTTTGTTAGGATGATTTGTTGGAAGTTTGTTAGAGTTATATGTTGGAAGTTTGTTAGAGTTATTTGTTGGAAGATTGTTAGAGTTATTTGTTGGGAGTTTGTTAAAGTGGTTAGTTAAAGGTGTTAGATCACTGGATCCTCTGCTGGGCTGGGCTGAGACGCAGTGGGCTGGGCTCAGGTGGGCTCTGCTGCTAGCTGGACATCCTGTTAATTAAAAGTCAAGAGGTCAAATGCTGATCAAATCATATGGAAAAGTAAAGATCACGAAAGGCTGCAAGATATACAGTGTGAATCTTACCTCCTCATCCCTTCTTGACTGCTGTGTGGTCGCAGTCGATCCTTGTTCCCCAGAATGCTGCTGAACATCTCAATGGGTCGACGTTCCTGAAAACACAGAAAATCAGGAGGTCAAAGAAAAACAATACCTGCTCTGATCAAGTTATAATGCAAAACTGGGATCCAGTGTGTTACAAAAGCAGCCCATAACTCACCACCTTGGCAAATGTAAGCCGCTAGACAAAGCTGGGCAATGTTCTCCTTCCTTTTCATCTGTGGCTGGCTGGTTGGCTGGCGGCTGGCTGGGTGCTCCTGCGTTGTACCACGTCCCAGTGCCTGAAAATATACAACTGAGGCGAGATTAGTAAAAATTCAAACAATGAAACAAAAGCACACAAATTCAAGGAAATTACAACAAAATCAAAGTTAAGGGGTAGGGGATGGTTAGTTGTGTTAGAATAGGAAAGTGCTAAGAAGATAGAGAAGAGACTGAAGGAAAGAAATAAATTCAAAATGCTTCTCTGTTAGGCTGCCTGGTCGCGGCACTGGATCTCCTGGTGGGCTGGGCTGGCTGGTGTGGGCTGCGCTGGATCCGGGCTGGGCTGCAAAGTGCTGGGCTGGGCTCTGCTGCTTGCTGCGCACCCTGTCAATTGCAAGTCAAGAGGTCAAATATTGATACGGTCAACATCATTTGGCAAGGTCAAGGTCACAAAAGGCTGCAAGATATACACTGTGAATCTTACCTCCTCTTCTCTGCTTGACTGCTTTTGGGATCAAAGCTGGGCAATGGGCTCCTTCCTCTTCATCTGTGGCTGGCTGGCTGGTTGGCTGGCGGCTGGCTGGGTGCTCCTGCGTTGTACCACGTCCGAGTGCCTGAAAATATACAACTGAGACGAGATTAGTAAAAATTCAAAGCAATGAAACAAAAGCACACAAATTCAAGGAAATTACAACAAAATCAAAGTTAAGGGGTAGGGAATGGTTAGTTGTGTTAGAATAGGAAAGTGCTAAGAAGATAGAGAAGAGACTGAAGGAAAGAAATAAATTCAAAATGCTTCTCTGTTAGGCTGCCTGGTCGCGGCACTGGATCTCCTGGTGAGATGGGCTGGCTGGAGTGGGCTGCGCTGGATCCAGGGCTGGGCTGCGAAGGGCTGGGCTGGGCTCTGCTGCTTGCTGCGCACCCTTTCAATTGCAAGTCAAGAGGTCAAATATTGATACGGTCAACATCATTTGGCAAGGTCAAGGTCACAAAAGGCTGCAAGATATACACTGTGAATCTTACCTCCTCTTCTCTGCTTGACTGCTTTTGGGATCAAAGCTGGGCAATGGGCTCCTTCCTCTTCATCTTGGGCTGGCTGGCTGGTTGGTTGGCGGCTGGCTGGGTGCTCCTGCGTTGTACCACGTCCGAGTGCCTGAAAATATACAACTGAGACGAGATTAGTAAAAATTCAAAGCAATGAAACAAAAGCACACAAATTCAAGGAAATTACAACAAAATCAAAGTTAAGGGGTAGGGAATGGTTAGTTGTGTTAGAATAGGAAAGTGCTAAGAAGATAGAGAAGAGACTGAAGGAAAGAAATAAATTCAAAATGCTTCTCTGTTAGGCTGCCTGGTCGCGGCACTGGATCTCCTGGTGAGATGGGCTGGCTGGAGTGGGCTGCGCTGGATCCAGGGCTGGGCTGCGAAGGGCTGGGCTGGGCTCTGCTGCTTGCTGCGCACCCTGTCAATTGCAAGTCAAGAGGTCAAATATTGATACGGTCAACATCATTTGGCAAGGTCAAGGTCACAAAATGCTGCAAGATATACACTGTGAATCTTACCTCCTCTTCTCTGCTTGACTGCTTTTGGGATCAAAGCTGGGCAATGGGCTCCTTCCTCTTCATCTGTGGCTGGCTGGCTGGTTGGCTGGCGGCTGGCTGGGTGCTCCTGCGTTGTACCACGTCCGAGTGCCTGAAAATATACAAACTGAGACGAGATTAGTAAAAATTCAAAGCAATGAAATAAAAGCACACAAATTCAAGGAAATTACAACAAAATCAAAGTTATGGGGTAGGGAATGGTTAGTTGTGTTAGAAAAGGAAAGTGCTAAGAAGATAGAGAAGAGACTGAAGGAAAGAAATAAATTCAAAATGCTTCTCTGTTAGGCTGCCTGGTCGCGGCACTGGATCTCCTGGTGAGATGGGCTGGCTGGAGTGGGCTGCGCTGGATCCGGGCTGGGCTGCGAAGGGCTGGGCTGGGCTCTGTTGCTTGCTGTGCACCCTGTCAATTGCAAGTCAAGAGGTCAAATATTGATACGGTCAACATCATTTGGCAAGGTCAAGGTCACAAAAGGCTGCAAGATATACACTGTGAATCTTACCTCCTCTTCTCTGCTTGACTGCTTTTGGGGCTGGGGCTCCTTCCTCTTCATCTGTGGCTGGCTGGCTGGTTGGCTGGCGGCTGGCTGGGTGCTCCTGCGTTGTACCACGTCCGAGTGCCTGAAAATATACAACTGAGAAGAGATTAGTAAAAATTCAAAGCAATGAAACAAAAGCACACAAATTCAAGGAAATTACAACAAAATCAAAGTTAAGGGGTAGGGAATGGTTAGTTGTGTTAGAATAGGAAAGTGCTAAGAAGATAGAGAAGAGACTGAAGGAAAGAAATAAATTCAAAATGCTTCTCTGTTAGGCTGCCTGGTCGCGGCACTGGATCTCCTGGTGAGATGGGCTGGCTGGAGTGGGCTGCGCTGGATCCAGGGCTGGGCTGCGAAGGGCTGGGCTGGGCTCTGCTGCTTGCTGCGCACCCTGTCAATTGCAAGTCAAGAGGTCAAAATGATACGGTCAACATCATTTGGCAAGGTCAAGGTCACAAAAGGCTGCAAGATATACACTGTGAATCTTACCTCCTCTTCTCTGCTTGACTGCTTTTGGGATCAAAGCTGGGCAATGGGCTCCTTCCTCTTCATCTGTGGCTGGCTGGCTGGTTGGCTGGCGGCTGGCTGGGTGCTCCTGCGTTGTACCACGTCCGAGTGCCTGAAAATATACAACTGAGACGAGATTAGTAAAAATTCAAAGCAATGAAACAAAAGCACACAAATTCAAGGAAATTACAACAAAATCAAAGTTAAGGGGTAGGGAATGGTTAGTTGTGTTAGAATAGGAAAGTGCTAAGAAGATAGAGAAGAGACTGAAGGAAAGAAATAAATTCAAAATGCTTCTCTGTTAGGCTGCCTGGTCGCGGCACTGGATCTCCTGGTGAGATGGGCTGGCTGGAGTGGGCTGCGCTGGATCCAGGGCTGGGCTGCGAAGGGCTGGGCTGGGCTCTGCTGCTTGCTGCGCACCCTGTCAATTGCAAGTCAAGAGGTCAAATATTGATACGGTCAACATCATTTGGCAAGGTCAAGGTCACAAAGGCTGTAAGATATACACTGTGAATCTTACCTCCTCTTCTCTGCTTGACTGCTTTTGGGATCAAAGCTGGGCAATGGGCTCCTTCCTCTTCATCTGTGGCTGGCTGGCTGGTTGGCTGGCGGCTGGCTGGGTGCTCCTGCGTTGTACCACGTCCGAGTGCCTGAAAATATACAACTGAGACGAGATTAGTAAAAATTCAAAGCAATGAAACAAAAGCACACAAATTCAAGGAAATTACAACAAAATCAAAGTTAAGGGGTAGGGAATGGTTAGTTGTGTTAGAATAGGAAAGTGCTAAGAAGATAGAGAAGAGAGAAGGAAAGAAATAAATTCAAAATGCTTCTCTGTTAGGCTGCCTGGTCGCGGCACTGGATCTCCTGGTGAGATGGGCTGGCTGGAGTGGGCTGCGCTGGATCCAGGGCTGGGCTGCGAAGGGCTGGGCTGGGCTCTGCTGCTTGCTGCGCACCCTGTCAATTGCAAGTCAAGAGGTCAAATATTGATACGGTCAACATCATTTGGCAAGGTCAAGGTCACAAAAGGCTGCAAGATATACACTGTGAATCTTACCTCCTCTTCTCTGCTTGACTGCTTTTGGGATCAAAGCTGGGCAATGGGCTCCTTCCTCTTCATCTGTGGCTGGCTGGCTGGTTGGCTGGCCGGCGGCTGGCTGGGTGCTCCTGCGTTGTACCACGTCCGAGTGCCTGAAAATATACAACTGAGACGAGATTAGTAAAAATTCAAAGCAATGAAACAAAAGCACACAAATTCAAGGAAATTACAACAAAATCAAAGTTAAGGGGTAGGGAATGGTTAGTTGTGTTAGAATAGGAAAGTGCTAAGAAGATAGAGAAGAGACTGAAGGAAAGAAATAAATTCAAAATGCTTCTCTGTTAGGCTGCCTGGTCGCGGCACTGGATCTCCTGGTGAGATGGGCTGGCTGGAGTGGGCTGCGCTGGATCCAGGGCTGGGCTGCGAAGGGCTGGGCTGGGCTCTGCTGCTTGCTGCGCACCCTGTCAATTGCAAGTCAAGAGGTCAAATATTGATACGGTCAACATCATTTGGCAAGGTCAAGGTCACAAAAGGCTGCAAGATATACACTGTGAATCTTACCTCCTCTTCTCTGCTTGACTGCTTTTGGGATCAAAGCTGGGCAATGGGCTCCTTCCTCTTCATCTGTGGCTGGCTGGCTGGTTGGCTGGCGGCTGGCTGGGTGCTCCTGCGTTGTACCACGTCCGAGTGCCTGAAAATATACAACTGAGACGAGATTAGTAAAAATTCAAAGCAATGAAACAAAAGCACACAAATTCAAGGAAATTACAACAAAATCAAAGTTAAGGGGTAGGGAATGGTTAGTTTTGTTAGAATAGGAAAGTGCTAAGAAGATAGAGAAGAGACTGAAGGAAAGAAATAAATTCAAAATGCTTCTCTGTTAGGCTGCCTGGTCGCGGCACTGGATCTCCTGGTGAGATGGGCTGGCTGGAGTGGGCTGCGCTGGATCCGGGCTGGGCTGCGAAGGGCTGGGCTGGGCTCTGTTGCTTGCTGCGCACCCTGTCAATTGCAAGTCAAGAGGTCAAATATTGATACGGTCAACATCATTTGGCAAGGTCAAGGTCACAAAAGGCTGCAAGATATACACTGTGAATCTTACCTCCTCTTCTCTGCTTGACTGCTTTTGGGATCAAAGCTGGGCAATGGGCTCCTTCCTCTTCATCTGTGGCTGGCTGGCTGGTTGGCTGGCGGCTGGCTGGGTGCTCCTGCGTTGTACCACGTCCGAGTGCCTGAAAATATACAACTGAGACGAGATTAGTAAAAATTCAAAGCAATGAAACAAAAGCACACAAATTCAAGGAAATTACAACAAAATCAATGTTAAGGGGTAGGGGATGGTTAGTTGTGTTAGAATAGGAAAGTGCTAAGAAGATAGAGAAGAGACTGAAGGAAAGAAATAAATTCAAAATGCTTCTCTGTTAGGCTGCCTGGTCGCGGCACTGGATCTCCTGGTGAGATGGGCTGGCTGGTGTGGGCTGCGCTGGATCCAGGGCTGGGCTGCAAAGTGCTGGGCTGGGCTCTGCTGCTTGCTGCGCACCCTGTCAATTGCAAGTCAAGAGGTCAAATATTGATACGGTCAACATCATTTGGCAAGGTCAAGGTCACAAAAGGCTGCAAGATATACACTGTGAATCTTACCTCCTCTTCTCTGCTTGACTGCTTTTGGGATCAAAGCTGGGCAATGGGCTCCTTCCTCTTCATCTGTGGCTGGCTGGCTGGTTGGCTGGCGGCTGGCTGGGTGCTCCTGCGTTGTACCACGTCCGAGTGCCTGAAAATATACAACTGAGACGAGATTAGTAAAAATTCAAAGCAATGAAACAAAAGCACACAAATTCAAGGAAATTACAACAAAATCAAAGTTAAGGGGTAGGGAATGGTTAGTTGTGTTAGAATAGGAAAGTGCTAAGAAGATAGAGAAGAGACTGAAGGAAAGAAATAAATTCAAAATGCTTCTCTGTTAGGCTGCCTGGTCGCGGCACTGGATCTCCTGGTGAGATGGGCTGGCTGGAGTGGGCTGCGCTGGATCCAGGGCTGGGCTGCGAAGGGCTGGGCTGGGCTCTGCTGCTTGCTGCGCACCCTTCAATTGCAAGTCAAGAGGTCAAATATTGATACGGTCAACATCATTTGGCAAGGTCAAGGTCACAAAAGGCTGCAAGATATACACTGTGAATCTTACCTCCTCTTCTCTGCTTGACTGCTTTTGGGATCAAAGCTGGGCAATGGGCTCCTTCCTCTTCATCTGTGGCTGGCTGGCTGGTTGGCTGGCGGCTGGCTGGGTGCTCCTGCGTTGTACCACGTCCGAGTGCCTGAAAATATACAACTGAGACGAGATTAGTAAAAATTCAAAGCAATGAAACAAAAGCACACAAATTCAAGGAAATTACAACAAAATCAATGTTAAGGGGTAGGGGATGGTTAGTTGTGTTAGAATAGGAAAGTGCTAAGAAGATAGAGAAGAGACTGAAGGAAAGAAATAAATTCAAAATGCTTCTCTGTTAGGCTGCCTGGTCGCGGCACTGGATCTCCTGGTGGGATGGGCTGGCTGGTGTGGGCTGCGCTGGATCCTGGGCTGGGCTGCGAAGGGCTGGGCTGGGCTCTGCTGCTTGCTGCGCACCCTGTCAATTGCAAGTCAAGAGGTCAAATATTGATACGGTCAACATCATTTGGCAAGGTCAAGGTCACAAAAGGCTGCAAGATATAAACTGTGAATCTTACCTCCTCTTCTCTGCTTGACTGCTTTTGGGATCAAAGCTGGGCAATGGGCTCCTTCCTCTTCATCTGTGGCTGGCTGGCTGGTTGGCTGGTGGCTGGCTGGGTGCTCCTGCGTTGTACCACGTCCGAGTGCCTGAAAATATACAACTGAGACGAGATTAGTAAAAATTCAAAACAATGAAACAAAAGCACACAAATTCAAGGAAATTACAACAAAATCAATGTTAAGGGGTAGGGGATGGTTAGTTGTGTTAGAATAGGAAAGTGCTAAGAAGATAGAGAAGAGACTGAAGGAAAGAAATAAATTCAAATGCTTCTCTGTTAGGCTGCCTGGTCGCGGCACTGGATCCTCTGGGGGGATGGGCTGGCTGGTGTGGGCTGCGCTGGATCCTGGGCTGGGCTGCGAAGGGCTGGGCTGGGCTCTGCTGCTTGCTGCGCATCCCTGTCAATTGCAAGTCAAGAGGTCAAATGCTGATACGGTCAACATCATTTGGCAAGGTCAAGATCACAAAAGGCTGCAAGATATAAACTGTGAATCTTACCTCCTCTTCTCTGCTTGACTGCTGTTGGGATCAAAGCTGGGCAATGGGCTCCTTCCTCTTCATCTGTGGCTGGCTGGCTGGCTGGCTGGCTGGTTGGCTGGTGGCTGGCTGGGTGCTCCTGCGTTGTACCACGTCCAAGTGCCTGAAAATATACAACTGAGACGAGATTAGTAAAAATTCAAAACAATGAAACAAAGCACACAAATTCAAGGAAATTACAACAAAATCAATGTTAAGGGGTAGGGGATGGTTAGTTCTGTTAGATTAGGGAAGTGCTGAGAAGACAGAGGAGAGAAAGAAGGAAAGAAATAAATTCAAAATGCTTCTCTGTTAGGCTGCCTGGTATCGGCACTGGATCCTCTGGGGTGATTTGCTGGCTGGTGTGGGCTGCGCTTGATCGTTGTATTGTCTTCTTATGGATAGTCTTGGCTCTGCTGCTTGCTGCGCATCCCTGTCAATTGCAAGTCAAGAGGTCAAATGCTGATACGGTCAACATCATTTGGCAAGGTCAAGATCACAAAAGGCTGCAAGATATAAACTGTGAATCTTACCTCCTCTTCTCTGCTTGACTGCTGTTGGGATCAAAGCTGGGCAATGGGCTCCTTCCTCTTCATCTGTGGCTGGCTGGCTGGCTGGTTGGCTGGTGGCTGGCTGGGTGCTCCTGCGTTGTACCACGTCCGAGTGCCTGAAAATATACAACTGAGACGAGATTAGTAAAAATTCAAAACAATGAAACAAAGCACACAAATTCAAGGAAATTACAACAAAATCAATGTTAAGGGGTAGGGGATGGTTAGTTCTGTTAGAATAGGAAAGTGCTAAGAAGATAGAGAAGAGACAGAAGGAAAGAAATAAATTCAAAATGCTTCTCTGTTAGGCTGCCTGGTATCGGCACTGGATCCTCTGGGGGGATTGGCTGGCTGGTGTGGGCTGCGCTGGATCCTGGGCTTGGCTGCGAAGGGCTGGGCTGGGCTCTGCTGCTTGCTGCGCATCCCTTCAATTGCAAGTCAAGAGGTCAAATGCTGATACGGTCAACATCATTTGGCAAGGTCAAGATCACAAAAGGCTGCAAGATATAAACTGTGAATCTTACCTCCTCTTCTCTGCTTGACTGCTGTTGGGATCAAAGCTGGGCAATGGGCTCCTTCCTCTTCATCTGTGGCTGGCTGGCTGGCTGGCTGGCTGGCTGGCTGGCTGGGTGCTCCTGCGTTGTACCACGTCCGAGTGCCTGAAAATATACAACTGAGACGAGATTAGTAAAAATTCAAAACAATGAAACAAAGCACACAAATTCAAGGAAATTACAACAAAATCAATGTTAAGGGGTAGGGGATGGTTAGTTCTGTTAGAATAGGAAAGTGCTAAGAAGATAGAGAAGAGACAGAAGGAAAGAAATAAATTCAAAATGCTTCTCTGTTAGGCTGCCTGGTATCGGCACTGGATCCTCTGGGGGGATTGGCTGGCTGGTGTGGGCTGCGCTGGATCCTGGGCTTGGCTGCGAAGGGCTGGGCTGGGCTCTGCTGCTTGCTGCGCATCCCTTCAATTGCAAGTCAAGAGGTCAAATGCTGATACGGTCAACATCATTTGGCAAGGTCAAGATCACAAAAGGCTGCAAGATATAAACTGTGAATCTTACCTCCTCTTCTCTGCTTGACTGCTGTTGGGATCAAAGCTGGGCAATGGGCTCCTTCCTCTTCATCTGCTGGCTGGCTGGCTGGTTGGCTGGTGGCTGGCTGGGTGCTCCTGCGTTGTACCACGTCCGAGTGCCTGAAAATATACAACTGAGACGAGATTAGTAAAAATTCAAAACAATGAAACAAAGCACACAAATTCAAGGAAATTACAACAAAATCAATGTTAAGGGGTAGGGGATGGTTAGTTCTGTTAGAATAGGAAAGTGCTAAGAAGATAGAGAAGAGACAGAAGGAAAGAAATAAATTCAAAATGCTTCTCTGTTAGGCTGCCTGGTATCGGCACTGGATCCTCTGGGGGATTGGCTGGCTGGTGTGGGCTGCGCTGGATCCTGGGCTTGGCTGCGAAGGGCTGGGCTGGGCTCTGCTGCTTGCTGCGCATCCCTTCAATTGCAAGTCAAGAGGTCAAATGCTGATACGGTCAACATCATTTGGCAAGGTCAAGATCACAGAAGGCTGCAAGATATAAACTGTGAATCTTACCTCCTCTTCTCTGCTTGACTGCTTTTGGGATCAAAGCTGGGCAATGGGCTCCTTCCTCTTCATCTGTGGCTGGCTGGCTGGGTGCTCCTGCGTTGTACCACGTCCGAGTGCCTGAAAATATACAACTGAGACGAGATTAGTAAAAATTCAAAACAATGAAACAAAGCACACAAATTCAAGGAAATTACAACAAAATCAATGTTAAGGGGTAGGGGATGGTTAGTTCTGTTAGAATAGGAAAGTGCTAAGAAGATAGAGAAGAGACAGAAGGAAAGAAATAAATTCAAAATGCTTCTCTGTTAGGCTGCCTGGTATCGGCACTGGATCTCTGGGGGATTGGCTGGCTGGTGTGGGCTGCGCTGGATCCTGGGCTTGGCTGCGAAGGGCTGGGCTGGGCTCTGCTGCTTGCTGCGCATCCCTTCAATTGCAAGTCAAGAGGTCAAATGCTGATACGGTCAACATCATTTGGCAAGGTCAAGATCACAAAAGGCTGCAAGATATAAACTGTGAATCTTACCTCCTCTTCTCTGCTTGACTGCTGTTGGGATCAAAGCTGGGCAATGGGCTCCTTCCTCTTCATCTGTGGCTGGCTGGCTGGCTGGCTGGCTGGCTGGTGGCTGGCTGGGTGCTCCTGCGTTGTACCACGTCCGAGTGCCTGAAAATATACAACTGAGACGAGATTAGTAAAAATTCAAAACAATGAAACAAAGCACACAAATTCAAGGAAATTACAACAAAATCAATGTTAAGGGGTAGGGGATGGTTAGTTCTGTTAGAATAGGAAAGTGCTAAGAAGATAGAGAAGAGACAGAAGGAAAGAAATAAATTCAAAATGCTTCTCTGTTAGGCTGCCTGGTCGCGGCATTGGATCCATATGGGGGGATGGGCTGGCTGGTGTGGGCTGCGCTGGATGGGCTGGGCTGGGCTGGGCTGGGCTCTGCTGCTTGCTGCGCATCCTGTCAATTGCAAGTCAAGAGGTCAAATGCTGATACGGTCAACATCATTTGGCAAGGTCAAGATCATAAAAGGCTGCAAGATATACACAGTGAATCTTACCTCCTCTTCTCTGCTTGACTGCTTTTGGGATCAAAGCTGGGCAATGGGCTCCTTCCTCTTCATCTGTGGCTGGCTGGCTGGTTGGCTGGCGGCTGGCTGGGTGCTCCTGCGTTGTACCACGTCCGAGTGCCTGAAAATATACAACTGAGACGAGATTAGTAAAAATTCAAAACAATGAAACAAAGCACACAAATTCAAGGAAATTACAACAAAATCAATGTTAAGGGGTAGGGGATGGTTAGTTGTGTTAGAATAGGAAAGTGCTAAGAAGATAGAGAAGAGACAGAAGGAAAGAAATAAATTCAAAATGCTTCTCTGTTAGGCTGCCTGGTCGCGGCACTGGATCTCCTGGTGAGATGGGCTGGCTGGAGTGGGCTGCGCTGGATCCAGGGCTGGGCTGCGAAGGGCTGGGCTGGGCTCTGCTGCTTGCTGCGCACCCTGTCAATTGCAAGTCAAGAGGTCAAATATTGATACGGTCAACATCATTTGGCAAGGTCAAGGTCACAAAAGGCTGCAAGATATACACTGTGAATCTTACCTCCTCTTCTCTGCTTGACTGCTTTTGGGATCAAAGCTGGGCAATGGGCTCCTTCCTCTTCATCTGTGGCTGGCTGGCTGGTTGGCTGGCGGCTGGCTGGGTGCTCCTGCGTTGTACCACGTCCGAGTGCCTGAAAATATACAACTGAGACGAGATTAGTAAAAATTCAAAACAATGAAACAAAAGCACACAAATTCAAGGAAATTACAACAAAATCAATGTTAAGGGGTAGGGGATGGTTAGTTCTGTTAGAATAGGAAAGTGCTAAGAAGATAGAGAAGAGACAGAAGGAAAGAAATAAATTCAAAATGCTTCTCTGTTAGGCTGCCTGGTCGCGGCACTGGATCTCTGGTGAGATGGGCTGGCTGGTGTGGGCTGCGCTGGATCCGGGGCTGGGCTGCGAAGGGCTGGGCTGGACTCTGCTGCTTGCTGCGCATCCTGTCAATTGCAAGTCAAGAGGTCAAATGCTGATACGGTCAAGATCATTTGGCAAGGTCAAGGTCACAAAAGGCTGCAAGATATACACTGTGAATCTTACCTCCTCTTCTCTGCTTGACTGCTTTTGGGATCAAAGCTGGGCAATGGGCTCCTTCCTCTTCATCTGTGGCTGGCTGGCTGGTTGGCTGGCGGCTGGCTGGGTGCTCCTGCGTTGTACCACGTCCGAGTGCCTGAAAATATACAACTGAGAAGAGATTAGTAAAAATTCAAAACAATGAAACAAAGCACACAAATTCAAGGAAATTACAACAAAATCAAGGTTAAGGGGTAGGGGATGGTTAGTACTGTTAGATTAGGGAAGTGCTGAGAAGACAGAGGAGAGAAAGAAGGAAAGAAATAAATTCAAAATGCTTCTCTGTTAGGCTGCCTGGTTGCGGCATTGGATCCTCTGGTGGGCTGGGCTGGCTGGGCTGCATAGGGCTGGCTAGGCTGGGCTGTGAAGGGCTGAGCTGGGCTCTACTGCTGGCTGGGTGCTCCCGCGTTGTACCACGTCCAAGTGCCTGAAAGTATACAACTGAGACGAGATTAGTAAAAATTCAAAACAATGAAACAAAGCACACAAATTCAAGGAAATTACAACAAAATCAATGTTAAGGGGTAGCGGATGGTTAGTTCTGTTAGATTAGGGAAGTGCTGAGAAGACAGAGGAGAGAAAGAAGGAAAGAAATAAATTCAAAATGCTTCTCTGTTAGGCTGCCTGGTAGCGGCATTGGATCCTCTGGTTGGATGGGCTGTCTAGGCTGGGCTGCGAAGGGCTGGGCTGGGCTCTGCTGCTGGGTGGATGGGTGGGCAGCTGGCTGGGTGCTTCTGCGTTGTACCACGTCCGAGTGCCTGAAAATATACAACTGAGACGAGATTAGTAAAAATTCAAAACAATGAAACAAAGCACACAAATTCAAGGAAATTACAACAAAATCAAGGTTAAGGGGTAGGGGATGGTTAGAACTGTTAGATTAGGGAAGTGCTGAGAAGGCAGAGGAGAGAAAGAAGGAAAGAAATGAATTTAAAATGCTTCTCTGTTAGGCTGCCTGGTTGCGGCATTGGATCCTCTGGTGGGCTGGGCTGGGCTCTCTTTCTTTCAGCGCATCCTGTCAATTGCAAGTCAAGAGGTTACATGCTAATACGGTCAACATCATTTGGCAAGGTCAAGATCGCAAAAGGCTGCAAGATGTACAGTGAGAATCTTACCTCCTCTTCTCTCCTTGCCTGCTGTTGGGATCCTCCCGGGTCAGCATACACCCCCTCTTCTGCTAACAAAGCAAAATTAAGACATCAAAACAACTTCCTACAGTTAACCAAATTTCAGCAAGTGCAAAGAGCAAAGTTATGATACCTTTTAACACAAACACAGGGTCACGAAAGTGGACACACTTTTTATATTCCTATATAAAACTTTGATCGACCAATGCACTGTGGCCCTGCCCTACCCACGGGTGTTATGATTTGAAAACATAGGTAATCAGAGATTACAGAGCTCACCTCAACGTGTGTTGTCTTTAAGTAAGGCAAATTAAGTCACACAATTAACCAACAAAAAGTGTACATCCAAAAATGCAAAATTTATGCAAATTTGATACTTTGGAATAGACCTATATAAAAATTAAAAACTAGTTCTTCATCATGAAAATGTAATTAAAATCCAGCATCTGAAGCAAGATTGAGAGTTTTCATCCCTTGATGCATCATTTGTGCAACTGGTTTATATAAGCCTTATAGTTTCTTGGTGATATACTTGCGCCCATAACTTTTACGAGGTCTATTATCTGGAAAATGTATCAGTATGTCGAATTCAGCATCTGAAGCAAGTCCATTAGTGTGTATCCTAAGATGTATCATCCATGCAAGTTTGGTCAACATAGGGCTTAAAGTTACTTGCAAATGAAACCTGTATAAAAAAATTAACCTTTCCACTAATCCAGAAAATGTAGGTCAGATTCAGCATCCGAAGCCAGCCTAGTAGAATGCACCCTTAGATGTACCATCCATGCAAGTTTGGTCATTATAGGGCTCCAAGTTACTTGGATATGAATCCTGCACCATAAACTTTAACCTGTTTACTCGTCCAGAAAATGTAGGTCAGATTCAGCATCCGAAGCAAGGCTGGTAGTTTGCATCCTAAGATGTACCATCCATGCAATTTAATCGTTATAGGGTTCATAGTACTGTACCTTGGAAATGAAACCTGCACCCAAAATTTTAACCTGTTCACTCAACCGGAAAATGTAGGTCAGATTCAGCATCTGAAGCAGGTCTTGGAATATGCATCCTAAGATGTACCATCCATGCAAGTTTGGTCATTATATGTCTCATAGTAACTTGGAAATGAAACCTGCACCAAAAACTTTAACCTGTTCACTCAACCGGAAAATGTAGGTCAGATTCAGCATCCGAAGCAAGTCTAGTAGATTACATCCTAAGATGTACCATCCATGCAAGTTTGGTCATTATGGGGCTCAACGTATCTTCGAAATGAAACCTTCACCAAAAACTTTAACCTGTTCACCTTTGGAAAATGTAGGTCAGATTCAGCATCCGAAGCAAGGCTGGTAGTATGCATCCTAAGATGTATCATCCATGTAAGTTTGGTCATTATATGTCTCATAGTAACTTGGAAATGAAACCTGCAATAAAAAACTTTAATCTGTTCACTCAACCAGAAAATGTAGGTCAGATTCAGCATCCGAAGCAAGTTTAGTAGAATACATCCTAAGATGTACCATCCATGCAAGTTTGGTCATTATAGGGCTCAAAGTATCTTCAAAATGAAACCATCACCAAAAACTTTAACCTGTTCACTCAACCAGAAAATGTAGGTCAGATTCAGCATCCGAAGCAAGGCTGGTAGTATGCATCCTAAGATGTATCATCCATGTAAGTTTGGTCAACATAGGGCTTATAGTTACTCGGAAATGAGACCTACACCAAAAACTGCACCAAAAATGTTAACCTGCACCAAAAACATTAACCTGGTCATTCCTTTGCTGAAATTGCAGCATCTGAAACTTTGACTGGTACAATGAAACACACTAGCAACATCTTCCATGCATGTCTTATCAATATAGGACATAAAAGTACTTAAAAAGAAAACTGCTCCAAAAAACTTAACCTTAATTTGGGATGCCGACGCCGAGGGTATCACATAAGCTCCCCCCAACTTCGTTGAGGTGAGCTAAAAATTGAATCTATACTACCTGAGGATGATTCCACATAATTTAATCTTTCCTTGCCCAGTGGTTATTGCGAAGAAGATTTTTAAAAGATGCCATTTATATTTCATTAATTCATGATATTTATCTCTCAAATAGAAGCCATTGTGTGCCAAGTTATATTTAAATCAGACCAAAACTATAGGAGGAGTAGCATTTTAAAAGTATTTCACAGAAATTTCTCGTTTTAGTTACCATGGCAACACTTCATCGAAATCAAAAACCAATAAAAGAATTATGTATCTTAGAGTAGTCTACTTGTGTGTCAAGTTAGATTGAAATCAAATCAAAACTGTAGGAGGAGTAGCATCTTGAAAAATTGTTTTATAGAGAGACAGACAGATGGACGGACGACAGACACATTACTATCGCATAAGCTATTCTGGTCTCTGACCAATAGAGCTAAAAATAGTGTGGTCAATGTCAGATAATATATACCCCGGTAAACAAATTAATAGGTTTTTAAATATTTTTTTTTAATTTTAGTGGCCCAGTTTTTTTTTTTGGTAAACAAGTTGAATTCAAAATGGTGAGTGGTTGGATCAACTTTATGGTGAATGTCAGAGTCTGACACAGTTTAATAAAATGGGGCATAGTAAGACCAGGAAAAAGAGAAAGGTCTCAGCTCAGATAATAATGACAATTGGTTGAACAGTT